CACCCCCGCCAGGAAACCTAGGAGGGCAGAGGGAAAAAGATTTTTTTTCCTGCCCTACAGTAGCCATTATGTATAAGGCAACATGCTAGACTTATATATACTTGAATATAAATAATAGCGGCTACCAATTGTTAGGAGCATTTACAACGTGAACCATCGGCTCAGCATTTTTTATAGATTGTCTTACTGAATTTCACAGCAATCCTAACAAACAGATACTATTCACTTCATTTTTTAACTTGAGGAAGCTGAGGCTCATCTCATGTAGGTTAGTAATGTTGCCAGAATCATTTAGTTTAACGAATGGTAGAGTTGGGACTCAGACTGTTCTGTCCTAGAGCTCGTGCTTCCATAATCACTAGATTTTATAATCACTGTTTGTTTTATTACCTTTATTGTTTATAATGAGTCTATTGATAGTACGCCTAATAATTAAACTATACAGCATTTTAAAATTTACAACATGCTTTTGTGTACCCACTAAAATTGGCTATTAAATTCTCAAACCCTGTGAAGGGACATGGCATTTCCGTTGTATAGATGAGAGCACTCAGAGTTCATGGAATTGATGTGACTTGCTGAAAGTAATATCACTAGTGAATGGTAGAACTGGGGCTCAAACCTGTGGTTCCTGATCTGTGCCACAGTCCCCATAATGTCTGCCCCGTTATTCCTAATCTTACTCGTTGTGGTCATATGTTATTTTTCTTTTTGATATTGGCTCTTCAGGTATTTGAAGACTTCTCTCTTGTTCTCGCTCTTGTCCTGACTCTCTCTTGTCCTCCCTGAGTCTCTTCCTCCCAAATGAAGTCGCTTTAGTTTTTATTTTGTGTGTCAAAGGAGTGTGTCCAGGGGGGTGGGAGAGCTATTGGGCACATAAAGCCTCTGGAGTGCCAAGAGGAAGACTTCCGGGTGAACTGTGCCCACTGTTCTCGCCATCCCCAAAGCCCACATATTTCCACCCTGCACCATCTTCTGAAAATTACCTGGGCTGGACTAGGATCATTGGTTTTTCTTTTCCCAATTATTTAGGCAAAGGGATGGTGGTTGCATTACTTGTTGCTGGCAAGATCTCTGTTCTGTGCTCCATACAAATGAACACTTGAGAGAATTGGACCTGTGTCATAGCAACCTTGATGAGTTAGCAATGAAGACTTTTTATCAAGAACTCAGGCACCCAAACTGTAAACTACAGAAACTATTGTAAGTATGGCATGAGAACATTTAATGGAGTTATTCCCGTTTCTTTCTTTGTCCCACCTCCCACTCCTACTTATTAGGGGAAACCAATAGTAAACAAATACTTAAAATCCACTGTGTAAAATAACTCCTAAGAACATGACCAATGGAAACCTCTGGGGATGTGAAAGCATAACTAATTTATTCTGGGAAAGATAGCACAGAGCATAGTAGCTGTTGACATGGGTTTTTGAGGCTTGATTAGGAATTTTCTAGATGAAGAAGAACACGGAGCTAAGGCATTCTAGGCAGGTCAACAAAGCATTTTCAAAGACATTCTGGAACACTTTAATTTCTTTATTGAGGAATAACTTAAACATTCAATAAAATGTGCAGATATTAAATGTTCAGTTTGTAGAATTTTTACAATTGCATACAACCCTGAAACCAATACCCAAAACAAGACAGAAAATAATTCCATCACCTCAGAAAATTTCCTTGTACCCCTTTCTGTTCAGTCCTTTCACCCTGTCCAACCCCAAAGGCAACCACTTTCTAACCTCTATCACTATATATTAGCTTTTTCTGTCCTTGGAAATCATTTAGATGGGTTCATATAATACGTATATTTTGTGTCCATATTTTGCTCAACAAAATATTTTTTAAAATTTATTCGTTATTGCATGTTTTAGTTTATTTCTTTTTTTAATTGTTAATGTTTTAAATTTATTGGGTTGACTATGGTTAGTAAAATTATATAGATTTCAACTGTACATTTCTATAATACATCATCTATGTATCACATTGTGTGTTCACCACCCCAGAGTCAGTTCTCCTTCCATCACCATACATTTGATCCCCTTTTACCTCTTCTATGACCTCCCTACTCCCTTACCCTCTGGTAACCACTCAACTATTGTCTGTGTCTATGAGTTTTTGTTTCTTTGTCTTGTTCCTTTATTTCTTTTTATCTGATTAGCATTCCATCGTATGCTATACGACAACTTGCTTATTCATTCTCTTGTGAATAGACCTTTGGGTTTCCAATTTTTGGCTATTATGGACAAGGCTGGTATGAATATTCCTGTGAAAATTTATTTTTTAATTTTATGACATATGTTTTCCTCTCTCGAGCTAATACCAAGGAATGGAATTTCTAGTTCATAGGTATATGTTTAACTTTTTAAGAAATTACCACCCAGTTCTCCAGAGTGGTCTTATCATTTCATAGTCCCCCCAGCAATATGTGCAAGTTCCAGCTGCTCCTCATCCTTGCAGACACTTGCAATTTCAGTCTTTAACTTGATTCTAGATACTCTATCACGTTGTTACATTTGCTTGTTTATATATCTCCCTCTTGCCCATTGGCTCTGCTAGGAACTGAAACTGATCTATTTCCTTCCATATCCAGTGCCCATCAATGCGCTCAAGGCCTAATTGGTGCTCAGTAATATGTGCTGAATGCTGAAAGAATGATAGATGTTGGTTCTTATAAGCACTGAAGATTAATGTTCTTTTTTGGGGGGGGACAGTTTTCCTCCTAAACATTTCCCTTAGAATCTGTATTTTAAGTGAAATCTGACCCTAGATTTCAAGCAACTAGATTAGGTCTGGATTTGCATATAGATGTAATAGGCAGTTGCATATATGTTATGATTAAGGGGTTCCTGGAAGTCCTTTTCGTTCACCCTCACATGTCTCTCTCACATTGTCCCTTCACTGAATGTCACCAATACAATAGCTAATGTCTTCTTTTGGGTTACATGGTTTTCCCTTTCCCTTGAGGGGTTGGGGGTGACACTGTGAAGTTATTTTTAGGCCTTTCCTGCCTTTGTGTGGCCTCACTTACTCAAGTCTCATTTCCCTAACAAGCGAGACTGTACTTTTGATTTACCTTTAATGAGTGCCTTAGTCACTTTTACTAGATGATGATGGTTAGTGCTCTAAATAGGTCAAAACTTTATTTTCTTGTGCTTGGCTGGAAGTGGGGTCAGGGTGAAGGGTAAGTAGTGGGCAAAAGGAAGGTTTTGAACTGTTCGCAGTGCGAACATGCTGAGCATTTGCGGCTAGAGGAGGCACTACAGAAGAGTCAGATACAGCTAACAGTGATTTAGATGGAAAATCAGAAGAAAAATGGGCAGATTTAACTTCCTTCATATTTTACTTAGGGCTGTCTCTGTACACCTAACAATACATGAGATGATAGCATTTTTACAATAATGTGTTTTGCCTACTGCACATCAAACAGTTGATGTTAACTGTGAACGCACCTTGGGTTATTTAATGGATTAAATATTGTGAAATAATGTTGTAATTATAGTATTCGGAGTAGTCCCAATAATTTTTGGTAGTCATTTCTGGCATTTTAAGAGTTTAAAAACTCCTCTTCTGCTTTTCCTGACGTTATTACCTTTTCCACGGGACAACGAAGTTGTAACCCCATTGTTTTTCTAAGCAACACCCTGAAACTTGAATTGATGACCTGACCTGGAATATGAGAAACCCTAAGTAAGATAAGAAATCGTGGGAATATTTAGAAAATATCTAAGAGTTATTTAGGTTTGAAAAGAAAGAGGTGCTGTAACTAAGGACAGAGATGATTTTGTAATCCCTCCTGCATATTTTTTTTCCTAAAGGTTGAGATTTCTTTCTTTCCCTGATGCTTGTCAGAATATCTCTAGTTCTTTGACTCACAACCAGAATCTGATGCATCTCGACCTGAAAGGGAGTGATGTAGGGGACAATGGAGTAAAGTCATTATGTGAAGCCTTGAAACACCCAGACTGTAAACTACAGAATCTGAGGTAAGCTGTGAGTTTTTTTTTATTACAATGAGACTTTGTCCAAATAGACTCTTCCATCCTGGAATTGCTGTTGATAGCGCTGGCTTAAATCTAGTACTTTCATGATACGGAATAGCGGGGATCAGTAGATCAGGCTGATTTCCTCCTGTTAGGACTTCTAACGCTTTCCATGCTCACCCCCCCCCCCCTACCCACCTTCTGAAGACACCTTGTTGTATGCTTCTGTTTCTCCATCTCCTAAATTTTGGGAAGGGGAAAGCAGACAGAGAATTTATAAAGATTTAAGTTTTTTCATATTTAAATGCAGGAATATGTATATTCATTGTATCTTTAAATTCTCAGAGAAGAATGCACTAATTGTAACTGGGAGCAGTGCTGTGATAGGCTCGGTTTTATTTAATTTTGATAGTGAATCCCCCTTACTTTATAATTGCAACTCCGTGACCAGTACAGAAAGCTAAGGAAGAGCAGTGTAGCAGCTGTCAACTGAAGGTGCCAGCTTGCTGTCATACACACTTAGTAATGTCCATCTTGTAATGGGCCTGATTTTCTTTCTCTGTGAAAGTGAGCTTTGCAGTCGTACTTGGTCTCCACATTGTGTGACAGGCTTCAAGAAAGATCTTATTTTACAATGAAAAATATTCAGTTTCTGACAAATAAAAGCAAGATAAAAAGTCATTGCAGTTGGTTTTACCTTAGAAGTTTTTTGTAATTCCTGGAGTCATTTAGAGGTGGGGGTCAACAATGAACCAAGATAGGTCTGTATTTGTGGGAAGCATGATAATCTGTGTAGAAAAAAACAAGTAAAATCTGAAAGATTTTCTTTTTGACAATATGAATTCTGTTACCGTTGCATATTTTAAATCTCACTAGTTTTTACAGGGTGAAATGCACTTACAGCATGTCTGGAAAGTTGTTGGATAATTCTTGGACATGTGTTGAGTTAAGTTATAAGCTTACCAGGTTGGGGTATTGGTTATACTATCTATGAAGTAGTTTTAGGACATTTTGAGGAATTTTCTATAATCTCCAGCCTCTGGTCTGGAAACCAGGTGAGAAGTAGTTCATTGGTTTCTGTCTAAAAGTGAAACATATTAGTAACAAAAAGCTGTTAAATGGAGGGCAAAGTGTTTTCTTACAGTGGAAGCCATGGATCCAAGACAAAATGTCTTGGCACTTGACAGATCAGCAGGACTTGATAAAATCTCTTTCATCAATTGCAGTTCAATAAATCTTGATGTAAACCCAGTTACTAGACATTCAAACAGGAAAACATCCCCCTGGGCCAACTAGTCAGGCCCTTTGCACCAGTGAACAGAATGTTTGGGCAGCAGAAGTCATCAGAGCTTTATAAAAACCAAACACTGCACTATGTAGGACTGGATGTTTTCCCATTGTGGGTAGCCACTGGGGAGTAGTCAAGAGTCAAGTAAACTGTTGCCATTTCATGTGGGGAAAGTTCCAGTTTTGTATTTATTTTAGAACTCATGTTATAAAAGCTAAGGACAGTTGACTGGCCATGTAATATATGTGCTTATGTTCTGTCCCTCTAGTGTAATGTTCTCTTTCTGTTAAACTTCAGTAACTTATCCACAGGTCCCATAGTATTAGAATCTTTGGCTTTCTAGAAGAGCTCTATCCAAACACAATGTGTAAGATTTCCTTTATTCCCCTGTCTTCTTGGCTGCTGATGTAATACCCTTTAGTATTAGTCTCCTTGGGCTGCTTAAACAACAGAAATTTATTTCTCACAGTTCGGGAGGCTGGAAGTACATAATCAAGGTACTGGTAGGGTTGGTTTCTGGTAAGACTTGTCTCCTTGGCTTACAGATGGCCACCTTCTTGCTGTGTCTTTACATGGCCATTTTTGTGTATGTACATTCCTGGTATTTTCTTAGAAGGACACCAATCCTATTGGATTAAGAGGTCTGCTCTTAGGACCTCATATAAAACCTAATTACTTTCTTAAAGGCCCTGTCTCCAGATATAATCACATTGGGGTTTAGGGCTTAATACATGAATTTTGGGGAGCACTATTCGGTCCATAACACCTTTTCAGGGCAAGTGATGTTTTCAGCCTTAGCCTATGATCTAGGTCATCTATTGAGGTCTAATTCTGGACTGAGGCGGGAGCTTCTCCTGTTTCTACCTCTGTGTACCCTGATTTTGATGAAGAGAGCCAATTCCCAAGGAATAACTAGAACAACTCCACATTCCAGGAATGCTGCTGCCGCAGGACTCTTCTTACAAATGGCTGGTATCAGGCCCAGCCTCAACCAAAGTCCAAGTTGTCTCTAAATATGAGTCTCCAACTATGCACTCTACATGCACTTCTTCTGCTCTGCTTCCCGTCTTTTATTTTTAGAAACTTTTATTCCTGATTAACTTCTTGTTTTCACTCTTAAGAACTGGATTCCTCAGAAAGTATGCACTGGTTTTCATGAATAAATGAGCTCTTGGCAGACAATAGGGAGTCAGAGCTTTTGCTCCTGCTTTTCCGTCCATCTGTTTTAGAAGTCAAAGAGTGCAAGGCTGTAGCCATCCTTCAATCCACCATCTTCCATGTTGTAGTTAGAGGATATACCTTCCAGATTAAAAAAAAACAAGAATCATTTAAAAATATTTTTGAATGTTTTTATATGTATTTTCATAAGGAATTGGGGAGGTAGGGATGGAAAAGATATGCTTCCCACCCTTCCCTTCCTAACTCTCTATTAGAGCCTTGTGCTTGAATTATCAATAAATAACTCTCATTCTACGTAGGGAAGCTGGATTTTCATAAAAGGTCTCAGAAGACCCAGATCCAAGTGACCACATGCTCTGGCTGGGTGAACAGTGGTTATAATTCTTCTCCAATGAGTGGTCATTTCTATTTTTCTGTATTTTTTTCTAGTTTGGAATCCTGTGACCTAACTACACTTTGTTGTCTGAATATCTCTGAGGCTCTTGTCAGAAGCCAGAGCCTGGTATTTCTGAATCTGTCGACCAATAATCTATTGGATGATGGAGTGGAGCTGTTATGTGAGGCCTTGAGAGATCCAAAGTGTTACCTAGAGAGACTGTCGTGAGTCTTTTTGCTTTGTTTTCTGTAGAGTCATTTTGTTTAGTCTTGTATAGCTTAGTTCTGATCCGAATGGGCAAACTGCCTGGGTCTTGACACGAATTGGCTCATTTGTCAATCTCGGATGAGCCCCTCCTTTTCTTCTTCTAATGTTCTTCCTCTTTTACTTGATTTTTAGACACTTCTTCTCTTTATGATTGACTTCTTAATTTTCATTTTTTTCCAGCTTCCCCTCTCCCCTTCTGTGTTTTGTTTCATCATACCCTCTGTATAGTTGCAATGGAATCCATCAATTAAGTAGCTTTGATGAGGTTGAGTCAATAGTTGAGATATCGGAGATATAAGTACCAGCTAACTTCTCTGTGAAGGAGAAGAGAAGCACGAACTTTGGAATTTGGCTGATCCCTTACCATCTGTTTCTCCTTCAGTTTAGAAAGCTGTGGCCTCACAGTGGCTGGTTGCCAGGATCTCTCTTTGGCTCTTATCAACAATAAAAGGCTGACACATTTGTGCTTGGCGGATAATGCCTTGGGAGATGGTGGACTAAAGCTTATGAGTGATGCCTTGAAACATCCACAGTGCACGCTACAGAGCCTTGTGTAAGTGTCTACTAGTTTTCAGCTTTCCAATGTAATATACATTTGAAATACATTTAAAATGGGAAAATATTATGAACATATTCTGGCTCCTGCTTTTTTTTGTCATCCTTAATGATAATGAAGATGATGAGCTTGATGATATTAAAAACTGTCATTTATTGTGTCCTTACTGTGTGCTGGGCCATGTGCTATATTTGTTTAATCTGCACAAAAATACTTGGTGTCAAATTGGCCACCTGAGTTTTAAGTGTCTCATTGTACAGGTTAGAAATGTGAGGCTTAGAAAGATTATGCAACTTGCCTAATGTTCACAAGAAAATGATGGATTTAGAACTAAAGTCCACCCATGCAACTCCATATTTTGGGCTCAGAAAAGGTAAATATGTAGGTATACCATTAAACAGAAATACAGCATTTCATGGTATGACTGGATCACACTGTGATTATTCTGTTAGTTGCTGTTAGATAATTTTCTAGATATCAAATGGATGAGCCAAAATTTTCATTTTGTCAAATTGATTAAATTGCCTCCAGATAAGTTGTTTATAGTCCCTCGCAGTCTAGGGGCTTGCATTTCAATAACATCACTGGGTATTCACAATATTTTTTTATCAGTATTAATTAGATAATTGAAAATAACTTTTAAAAGGATTTGATGTTGAGCATCTTCAGATGTTTTTGGGTTTTAGTATTCTAGGAATTGCCTCATCATAGGCTTAGTTTTCCTCTGGATGTTTCTTTTGTATGTGTTATATATTACAGTTATTAATGTCACGTATACATTACTATTATTTTTATACATTGTAAATAATTTACCTAGCATGTTGCTGTATTTCTAATTTTCTTTATAGTCATTTTCAGAATATAGAAGTTTAAAATTTTTGTGAAATCTAATTATCTTCTCTCTCATGACTTCTAGAAGTTTTGTCATAATTGGAAATAACTTTCTTTAAAAAAAGGCCACTTATGTCATCTTTTTTGTACCCTTTATGGTTTAATTTTTAACACTTCAATGTTAAATTATTCCAAATTAATTTTGTGTAAGGCTTAAACTTATTGTCCCCATATGTTAGGTCTGTTGTCCCAAAATCATTTATGGCATAATACATCTTTTCCTTACTGGTTGGAAATGCCATTTTTACTATGGACAAAAAGTACTTACTTTATTATGATCACTCCCATCCTATTCCATATGCCTGCTCCCCTGCCCCATGTAGCTACTTCTGCAACTTGAGTACTACGTTTATATACCATGTAAAGAGGTTAATATTTCATTTATAGTAATAAAAAGAACATGAATCCTGTGTTAGCCCAATCTGGTGCAAATCTGTTTCCCAGGTGAGACAGCCAAAGAGGCAATGAGAGAAGAGGGTATTTGATCTGAGAGGGAGTGTTGGCAAGTACATAAGGGCTTGTAACATGAAACCTTTTCAGAGATATAACTCTCTGGGCTGTAGAGCAGCGATTCCATGTTTCCTCTCACTGTCTTTCCTGCAGGCTGAGACGTTGCCATTTCACTTCACTGAGCAGTGAACATCTCTCGTCTTCCCTCCTGCACAACAAGAGCCTGACACATCTGGATCTGGGGTCAAACTGGCTACAAGATGATGGAGTAAAGCTTCTGTGTGATGTCTTTCAGCATCCAAGCTGTAGTCTTCAGGACCTGGAGTAGGTATTCTTTGACCTTAACTTTTGTGTAGCTTTAACTACTGTGAGAGGAGGAAAGGTATGGAAAGAAAGGTACTGGAAGCTGAGTGTCTCTCAGAGAAAGGAATACAGCTGATTCCCTCTCATTCTGCCTTAGACTAGCTGGGGATGTCTGCTCATCGATTTTTCTTAAACAATTAATACAGTAATCACAGTCAACTTCCCTCAGGTAAGGAGGACCAGAGCCATGATGCTGAACAGTAGCCGTTTTATTTCTCCCTTGGTTGTGCCTCAGCAAGTCTACTGTGTGTCCTCTACCTTACATCCATTAAGCTAAAATTGTGCTCTATTAGTTTTTCTTTCTTAAAATTCAGGTTTATAAATAGGTCGTTTGAAGAAATTGGGAAGGATTTTTAAAAATATCCAACAACCCAGTCATTCTTAAGCAGCAACTGTTTTATTCCTGTTATGTTCTTGCTTACTCTGTGAGTGGATATACATACCTGTGCATGATATGTGTATATGTAATTGTGATTACTGTGTAGACATGACTTTGAGGTTTTCTTTTCAAATGATAGGTATAAATCCTTATGTACAATTATCTTATTGATTATTTTAATGGCTGCATGATATTTAATATTTAATTATATAAATATTGTGGCTAGAGTGAAGCAAGATAGAAGTGCCACTTAGCCATCTCAGCTTGTTTTTCTACTATGGCCTCCCATGGGACTAGTGGCCTGGGTGAGTCATTAAGGATCTAACCCCAGCATAGTTTTTTTAGAACTATAAATTTGAGATTCTTGGCATACCCAGAGGTGTTTGGCTTGGACAGAATCATGATAAGCAAATTTCCAAATAAGTTCAATAGTTGATTGTCACATCTGTAAACACTAAAGTGGTTGAACTCTTGGGTCCAAAAAGCACCTGTACTTGAGGAAAACGTATATGATATAAGTTACAGTGTGATTCTCTGATGTTTCCTTGATTATTATTCAAGTAGAAAATAAAATTTTACTTAATGGAAATTGCCATTAAACCCAATACCTTTATTTCAGCTACAGAGATATAACTTCTAAGAACCTATACACAGAAGGTGTTTGCTTAGCCCAGTTTCTTGTCTTAGCATTGCTGTAAACACATAGACTAATTTGTGCTTTCTTAGCTACCTTCATAGTCTCTATACAGGCCATGCCACTGCCTGAACAAATGTTTTCAACAAATTGAGCTAGATGCTGAGGGGACTGAAGGTTATTACTAAGGTGATGCTCTTGTTCTCAGATAACTCACAAAATGCTGATAGCAGGGAGATAAATATAAAGCCAACTATAATATATTCCATATATTGTTACAAAGGTATGACAGAAATTTCAAGGAGCAAGGAGTGGGACAGAGGGGATTGAGTTACTTTAGGCTGAAAGATGAAGATTTTGTTATGTGCAGATATCTTAGGCAGAAGGAAAGAAGAGAGGAAAAGGGAATGAGGATAGATGTGGTATATTTGGGTAAAAATAGATGCCGTATGGTTGGAGACAAATAGGGTGGGGGACGAAGTATGGAAAGACAATGCTTGAGGCCAGATCGTGAATGCTCTTGAATGTCCTACAAAGGACATGAAAAATGTCTTTTTATATGTAGCTTGCTTCTTCATTCTTTGGAGGTAACATTTTGAGATGGATTTCTGGAAAGCAGTTTTATTTCAAAAATGTATTAGAAACTGAAATGACGAGATGTGTCTCTTCCTTGGGAAAGCTTACAATATTTTTTTTAGTGTTGATAGAAGTGTTTATACCCTTGATTTAGGAAGCTTGATCGATAATCTGCTTATGGGAGAAAGAGTTTTCCCCATTATTTTTTCCTGCTCATTAAGAAATCCCATCTGTTTCTACTGGTAATGTTAGATCTTCCTATGAGTGTCCTGGATTGTAGATAAAAAGGGTCAGAATAAAAGGCTCAAAAACCCGGACATTGCTTTATTTCCCCCAGAAATAAACTAATTAAGCCTCACAACTTAAAGGTCTCCCTTTTATTTTGTATTTCTTGCAGATTGATGGGCTGTGTTCTCACTGGTGCATGTTGTCTGGATCTGGCTTCTGCTATTTTGAACAACCCAAACCTGCGGAGCCTGGACCTTGGGAACAATGACTTGAAGGATGATGGAGCAAAAATTCTGTTTGAGGCTTTGAGACATCCAAACTGTAACATTCAGAGGCTCGGGTGAGTTCAATTTTTCATTAGGACAATGATACCTATTTGGTAGAAGAAATTTGGCATATGGAGAGAGGATGGACAAAAATGGGGCTAGAAGGTAAGTTACTCTTCAGAAATGAGAATCTGAAGTTCAAATATATGGATCAATGTGTATTACAGGTTGTTAGTATAGAAGCTGTGATTCACATTTCTGTGTGTCTTCCTCAGTGCCTTGGACAGGGTATGTATTAAATAAATGGTACTTGATTTAGGTCTTTCACATGCTATCACCCTTCAGATAGCCCATCTGTCCTTGAATTAATTATTCTTATTAAATCAGAGATTTTACTAATAATCTTCTATCTAGAAAAATGCTGTTGATGCTTTCAAGGAGCTTGCAATCTAATTTTATTCTATGTTCTGTGTACTCTTTATGTTCAGTCATATATTGTCTAGATTTTTTTTCCTCTTTAAAATTTTGAACTGATATTGGATAGTTCATTTTTACTTATACAGCATAAATTATTGACCTCTGAGTCAAAAATTTTGCTTTACATGTGAGAAGCCCAGACACTATGATATGTCTCCCTGAATCTTCCAAGAAAGTGCTGCTTTTCCCGTTTTCATTTACTGTTTATATGTTTTTACCACAACAATGATGTTGTAACTGTTGAAATTTAATTTTGTTCTACTTATCACCTAATAAGTTAGCCTATTATTGTCTACTGGATGCTGGCAGGAGACATACACTCCTATCAGAGACAGAGTACTTTATTACTCATAGCATAGCCAGCCGCACAGCATTAGGTGTGTTTGTGTCAGTTTCCCTTGTGCCCCAAGTCCCACAAGGTCAATGTGGAGGGCCTGGACAGATGCCTGCACATGCAGTGGGTTGAATCCCAGTAGAGGAACATTGAGTTTGGGGACCCACCATTTTATAGCAAGCAGTGAGCAAGTCTGCTCTTTGTCTTGGAGTGGGGATAGATGTTCATCAAGGTTTCTCATTGCCCACACGTTCTAAGAAATGACCCAGGTGAAGAATTATCAGGACCTTGCATTTTTTGTCAGCAAAAATGTAGGAGGGCGAAAGACGCGTAGAAGAATGTCTCCCAGCGATATCCACCCCTTTTTTCCTACACAATACAGTCTTGGCTTCTGGTGAATTTTTACAAAGACATGCTACTACACTGGCCACTCTGATTAATCTAACCAACAGAAGCTGGGACCAACTTTGTTTAACCTGTCTCATATACCATTAAGGCCACTGTTTATAGTACTGCAAGCACAGTTTGAAGCCAAAGTGCAGTATTGATTTCAACTATGCCCCTAGGTTCCATGACTCAGTCAACTGAGTTAGACTCAGGGAGGAACAATAGGTCTTGTTATCCATTACCACTAATGAAAAGGAGTTTAGAATGACTTGCTGATCTTGGTGTCATTGGCAATAAAAGGTGGCAAAAGGTGGTCCACAAGCAATCCCATACCCAATAAAGACACATTCAGTGGGCCAGACTTCCCCACATGCAAACATATAAACTGAAGGAGCACATTTGGTCATTGTCTGTTATATTTGATTTGGGTCACCATTACATTGATTTAATTATGTCAGATGGGCAGTGTCACCAAGTAGTTACAACTGAGTTGTTTGCTGTACATGGCATATCACAAGGCTGTTTTGGCATCAAGAGAAGCTAATGAATTTGTATTAGATTGAAACAAGGTTGTACTAGTTGTGTTTGTACACATGTGAGAGAGTTCCACATTTGGGGACTGCCACTGATAACCTCAAGCACAGCAGAATAGTTGAGGACCTGCCATATGCATATGAGATTTTCTGTTTTCATACATGTGGACAGCATGACAACTGAGCAGTGGGTCAGATTGCCAGCCACAGCTGCCGCTTGACTCACATAGGCTACGTAACTATTTTGCCAGGTGGCAGTATTGGATCTAGGGGGAAAAGAGAACCTTAATTGTTGTCCTGACTCCCTGTACCTTTCAGGTTCTAAGGTGTTCTTTCCCAGATGTTGGCGTTGCTACTCTTCCCCCAGCCGTGAAGTCAGTGTGTCCCATCCCAGTGTCTGTAATTTCACTATTTCTCTAATCATCCCTCATTTGCACCTAGACCGTTAGTCCAGAGGGATCAGGTGGAACAGGGACAAAGCAATTTTACAATATTTACAGAAACCCATTCTACTCCATATGAAATAAGGTCCCCCACACCAGGCAAGACAATACAAAATGGGTCCCAGCATTACAAAATGGCCTGCACGCCCTTTAGCTTTCGGATACTTAAAATCAGTAGCTTTTCTCAGAAATCATATACTCACAAATAATAGCATATGAAACTGTAGCCTTAGCATCTCCACTTCTGTAATTGTACCTTGTCTCAGTTTACCCAATACTAATAGCTAGCAAAAAGCCCCTAACTTCCTCTAAAACCCAGTATATTCCCTCCTCCTAGCTAACCTACCCAGCAACAAAAACGGGAATAACCACAAAAGTGCTTAACTATAGCTTCTATAATTTCTAATCATAATATATTCACTGTATACCAATTAATTATAGTTAGATATTAGGCTAATCTTGCTATTTTAGCTTCTTGTAAGACTACTTCTCTAGGATTAAGGACTTATCCAAACAAGGACCCTCACTCAAAATATACATGAGACTGGGGTCCAGAGGACTTTCCACCGCCCATGCCTAGGACTTCCTGGTTTGGACATAATCAGTTTCTGTATAACTCTCTGCCTCAGTGTACCCCTGCGGTTTTTGCCTTTATAAACCCTGCCCAACTTCCTCTCAGGGCTGCGAGGTCTTTGGAGCAGTCGCCGGCTTTGCAATGAAGACTCCTGAATTGGCATTTTACTTTCGTTTCATTGTCTGCCTGACTCACAAGCTCTACATTACAACACATACCTCGGCTCATAGCAGGACTCAACCAAATGATCATTATCGTCATCATCTAGGGCTTTGTCAATCCAAACGAGAATCCAGGTGTCTGAACTGAATTAAGTTTAACCTCATACATAGATCCTTTCTTGCTAGCCTGCCACCTGGTGGATGTACTAGTCAAGCTGGCCTGGAGTTGTTGGTAAGGAAAGAAAAGCACCATGCCCAGGAATGGTCAGGATGCAATTCTGAAATTTCAAAATAATTTTATATAACCTTCTATTACTTTCATCCTAATCATTACCCAGGAGGTAGCCAAAGAGAGGTGAGCCATTTCAGGAGATAGCCACATTTAGTGACCAAACTGCTCTGCTAAGGTATGTAGACCAGGAGTTGGTGAGGGGGGTGGAGTCAGAAATCTTTTTTATTTAATTTTGAGGGGCCATTCCAGAGCTCACAATACCAGATGCCTGTGGATTGCAGATACTTATAGAAGATCTGTATATTATCTTTCTCAAAAGAGGAGTTTCTTTCGCTTTTGGCAGGCATTTGCAATAGGAATAAATCACTTATTCCAATCAGGGACTGATCTGATTGAAGGCTAACTTTCAATCATTGTAAGGTTTGATATACGAGGCCTGACAATTAAGTTGGCGAACTCATCCTAGAAGAAGTGCTACATACCTCATTGCTAAATTATCACTATGGTCAGCTTCGAAGTACTCCCCATGGGAAGGTATGCACTGACGCCAATGCCTAGTCCACTCTTCAAAGCAATTTTGGAACTCTTTTTCTGGAATGGCCATCAGAGCTGTCATCGTATTATTCTTGATGTCCTGAATGTCATAAAAATGTCTTCCTTTCAATATTTCCTTTATCTTCAGGTAAAGAAAGAAGTCATTGGGGGCCAGATCAGGTGAGTAGGGAAGGTGTTCTAATACAGTTATTTGTTTACTGGCTAAAAACTCCCTCACAGACAGTGTTGTGTGAGCTGGTACATTGTCGTGATGCAAGAGCCATGAATTGTTGGCGAAAAGTTCAGATCTTTCTTCTTAACTTTTTCATGCAGCCTTTTCAGCACTTCCAAATAGTAAATTTGGTTAAGTGTTTGTCTAGTTCATACAAATTCATAATGAATAATTGCGCTCATATCAAAAAAGGTTAACAACATCGTTGCAACAAACTCGCAAACTTAATTGTCAGACCTCGTATTTTTTGTGTGGAATGTTCATTGAACACCTTGACTATTGACCCATTGTTTCTTCAAAATGGAGGAGATGGGTGTAAATTTCTTGATTTTTTTTTTCTTTTTGGTATACGTGAAATGACTTAGTTTTTTTATGAACTTGAACACTGCTTGGCTGTGTTCATAGTAAGTATTTTGGTCATTCTTGCTCTGAGAATTTTCCAGAGGAAAACTGACTGTTAGCATTGAATCCAGTTGTAGAAAAGTCTGAAACCAGCAGATTCTTCCCCTTTAATGTCCTTATTGGTTAAAAGTACTTTTAATTTTTGTTTGGATGTTGATAGAATTGCTTCTTAGGTCCAATAATTGGTCCTATGTTGAACTTCCTTTATTCATATTTTTCTGGGGAAATGGTGTGGGTTTTTTTTTCGTTGGTTGTTTGTTTTTTGAGGAGAAAAGCGTCCTTTATTCTACATACCAGCAGCTAGGAAAGATGGCAAACTCAAGTCCAAAAACCACCTTCTGGTGTGCTTTTTTCATCTGTAGATTTTACTTTTTTTTAATAGCGTTTTGTATCTTTAACTTCTGCATGTCTATTTGTCCATTTATTTTCAGGGTCACTAACTACGCTTGTCAGATCTCTTTTGTTGGTCTTCCTTATCTGTAGTTTTCTTTAATCTTTTAAAGCTCATTCTTTTTTTGCTTGATTTTTTTTCTAACTCATCCTACATATTCCTAAATGTATTTCAGTAAATGTATTTTGCTTCTTCTTATGTGACTTTAATTCTATAATTTTTATTTTTCTCTTGTTATTTTTAAGCTCTTCCAAATCATATTTTAAACATTTTCATTATGAAATAGAAAATACATACAGAAAACTGAATACAAACTAATATTTTAAAAACAAAAAAATGTATGTAACCACACCCAGGTCATGAAATTGTATTTTCCCAGTTAACTGAATTCCTCTCAATCATCCTTCTAAATCGCAACTTCTTCCCTCCTTTCCAAGAAGTAACCATTATCCTGACTTTAATGGCAGTCATTTATTTGTTTTCCTGGGCTGCGAACAATGAGTGTATGTAATCTTAAACAATACAGTTGAATTTTGCCTAATTTTGAACTTTATATACAAGAAATCATACTTTATATATTCTTTTGTGTTATTTTTTTCTTAATGTTATGAGTCATCTAGTTGCTTCATGTAGCTGTAGTTAATTCATTGTTATTGCTGTAAAAGATTCTGACGAGTGCCTATACCAAAAATTATAACCATTCTATTGTAGGCGGACTTGGGGTTGTTTTCATTTTCTTTCTTTTATGACTTAGTGATGCTATAAATATTTTAATACATAAATTCTGAGGTATCTGCATAGACATTTATTTAGAATAAGCAATTAGGAGTGAACTTGTTATATTATAGGGAATATATGTATTCAGATTTATCAGATATTGTCAAAAGGATTGTACCAGTTTATTCTGCCACTGCCAGAGTTCCTATTGCTCTCTATTCTTGACAGTTTTGTAAGACTTAATTTTAAAAATTTTAGCCAGTCAAGTGTGTGTTTTGGCGTATGATTGTGTAAGATTGGAATTATTTCTTTCTAGAGCTTTGGATACATTTCTGGCAAAGCTATATAATCTGATGTTTCCTTTGGCGACTTTTTTGACTTCTGATTAAATTTTTAAAATAATTATACATTTATGTAGGTTTCCCCTTATTGAGTAATTTTTGGTAATATTCCTATGATTTTATCTTTTCATCTAAATTTTAAAACTTATTGGCAAGTGTCTAAAATTTATTATCTGCTTCATTTTTGTATCATTTCTAGTGGTTTAGATATCTAGAGATGTTTCATTATTCTTTCTATCTTATTTCTTCTACTTTCGTTGAATTTATTTTACCATTCTTTTTCTAAATCCTTGAGTTGGATGCTTAGCTCATAAATATTTCTTCTTTTCCAACACAGACTTAAGGCTATGATTTTCCTTTAAATCATTACATTAATTTCATCCTAGACCTTTTGATACTGTAGACTATGTTTTTGTTATTTTTGAGTCTGGGTTATTTTAAAGTATATTTCTTAATTTTCAAACATAAGAGTGGTTTCTTGTTATCTTTTTGTATTTATACTCTACCATTGTGGTCTGAGAACATACTGTGCGTGATTTTAGTTCTTTGAAATGTGTTGACATTTGCTTCATGGCCCAGTATATAGTCAGCTTTTATATGTGTTCTGTAGTACACTTGAAAAGAATATGAAGAGCTGTTGGTTGCTGTATTTCATATCAGTTATGATTGTTAATCCTGTTGTTCAAATCATCTATATTTTTAGTGATTTTTTTCCCAGATAATCTAATTATGGTGAAATATGTTAAAAAATCTTCTTTATAATTATTTGTGTTTCGTTGTGTGGTTCTGTTAGTTTTTATTTTCTGTATTTTGAGACTTTTATTAGTGACTGCAAATTTAGAATGATTATGTTTCCTGATGAATTCTTGATAATCTTTCATGTCTTATAATGAGTTTTACCCTAAGGTTTATTTTGTGTGATATTTAGGTACCTGTGTCATAATTAGTGGTACTGTTGCTCCACTATGTTAGTGTGTGTTCCATGTAGGCAGCAACTTAAGAAAAAAGTTTTGTATACTCAGTACCTATATAGGCACTCAGTTGTTGAATGGCTAAACATAAGGTGAAAATTAAATTTAAATTGGTTGGGTGAATCATCAGGTGCAGAAGGTTGAGTTTAACATACTTATCATTGGGTTATGCAAGGGCCTACAACTGATTGATTGTTGATTAGTTAGTTGTTTAATTTACCGCCGTTAACCATTCTCCTTCCCACCTATGGGCAGCTGATCTAAAGTGTTTGAAATTTGCCATAGAATTGTGTGTATCCTTGTAAAAGATGTAATGTTGTTTTTGGTGCGTACATTTTTACTTACATAAGTGGCATGGTGCTAGAGATCTCATTATATAACTTGCTATTTAAATACTCAATACCATACTTCTAAAATCTACTTATGTTGCTGTATTCTTAATGCTGTTCGAGGATTCAACTGCTTTATCGTTTTCCTTAGTGTGCTACCGTATTTTATTTATTTCCTGGACTACAATTATGAATTTGTAATTCATGATATCGGAAGGGATATATTCAGCCTATAAATAACTAGAAATAATGATTATAAGTACCAAATTCCTTGAACATACCCTAATTGTGCCCATTTTTTAAGCTTCTGGAGTTAAGCTACACTCCCAGCTCACAGATCTTTTGTGTGCTTGCTCTCTGTCATGGGATAAAGTTAACTTTATCTGTAGTCTCTCTTCCCTGCAGGCTGGAATATTGTGATTTGACCTCTCTCTGTTGTCAGGATCTCTCCTCTGCTCTTAGCAGCAACCAAAGACTGATAAAAATAAACCTGACACAGAATACCTTAGGTTGTGAAGGAATTATGAAGTTATGTGAAGTCTTGAGGTCTCCTGAATGTAAACTACAAGTTCTAGGGTAAGTCTTCATTGGCTTCTTAGAAGAAAAGTTTTCTGAAATGAGGAATTTGGGGAGACAGTTGTTTATTGCAGGCCTCAGGAGCAACCTGATGGTGGATCCTTGGGTATTTTCTAGGCCTTTATTTTATCTTTTACTCCCACAGAACATGGAATTTCAAGAGATGTAATATAGCATAGTGGTTAAGAGCCGCAAACTCTAGAGCCAGCCTACCTGAGCTTTGTTTCTGGCTTTGCCACTTACTGGATACTTGAACTTACTCTGGTCCCCAATCTCTCTGTGTTTATTTCGTCATCTGTAAAATGGGTGACACAATAATACCTACACATAGGCTTATTGTAAGGATTGATCACTTGAATCAGCATAGGCAGTCTTTAAAACAGTGCCTAATATAAAATAAACAATGTGCTAGCTGCTTTTATCATCATCATTAGTAGTACTGTTTTGCTTGACCAGAAACGGGCTCTTGGAGGATCCTTTCAAATTTTAATGCTTCTCTCTTTCTCTTCTATATTCCGTTGTACTTCAACTGCCTTATCTCCCCTAGGGTATCCCTCAGTTTCCTTTCCCACTCCCCAGCCATGTTAATATTCTCTCCATACTTTAACAGAACAGTTTTTTTCTCTCTGAAATGAATTCTCCAGAGAAAGTAAAACGCTGTGGGAAAATTGAGTGCAAGAAGAGATGTTCCCTTGTTTTCTCAGGTTGTGCAAAGAGGCATTTGATGAGGAAGCCCAGAAGCTGCTGGAAGCTGTGCGAGTTAGCAATCCTCACCTAGTCATTAAGCAAGATTATAATGACCATAATGAAGAAGATGGTTCCTGGTGGCAGTGTTTCTGATTTGAAGAACCTGATACTCTTAAAAAAAAGTAAAATAAAATGAAGACCTCAGAGTGGTCTGGGGCTCCTAGCTTAGATACTCTGTGCCCAGACATATTGCATTTGATATCTGTTAGATATAGGTTAGTCACTTCTCTGTAAAATGTCTGTTCTACCTCACACAGGAGTTAAGAGGCTAAAATAAAATGAAAAGCAGAAAGCTCTGTGAAAAGTGTACCATGATGTTTTTAATTGGATGCAGAACTTAAGAATCCAGATGTGAGAAGCCTAGAAATGAGACCAGAGGATGGGGCCACGGAGGATGGTGTTAAAGCGTCGTTTCCTTTCTCTCCGTTCCTACTGCCATGGCTTAGTTCACAGCCTCACCGTCTCTGGCGCATTTTATTGAATGCTTTTCCGTGTGTGTTCTTACACCACCAGTGTCAAAATCACTTGGGTGTTTCTTAAATGCAGATTCCTGAGCCACATACTGGACTTACTGAATCAGACTATCTGGGTGAGGGTCCTAGGAACTGGCATTTTTTTTTTAGCTGAGCCATCCTGCCACCTATTGGTAGCAGCTCAGTGGCAGCTCACCTCGGGCCGGGAATCGAACCAGTGACCCTGTTGTTCAGCGCTCGCACTCTTGAGTGAGCGCTTAATCAAATGAGCCACTTGACCAGCCGGAACTGGCATTTTTAATAATTTCCCAGGCAATTCTTTGGCACATTAATATTTTAGAATCACTAGTCTGAATAGAAATGGGAGTCCACTTCTGAGGTGAACATTTTCTATAGCCTCCTGTGAAGATATGGGGAGATAGAAAGATTATTGGGGTTAGAGCTAAAAACAGGTTCCTCTGTTTGACAGAAACATGGCACAGTAAAATTTTCTGTAAAAGAATGTTTTGGTTACTTATTGCTATGTAACAAACCATCCCAAAACTTAGTGGCTTAAAACAATAACCACTTTGTTATACATCATGACTTGGTAGATTAAAATTCAGAAAAGGCTCAGCTAAACAGTTCTTACGTTCCACATGACATCACCTGGAGTCCCTTGTGGTATTCAGCGGACAGCCAGGTTGCTCTGGAAGCCCCAGGATGACTTTAGTCACATGCCTGGTACCTTGGAGAGGATGGCCGGAAGGCTGGGTTGGGTTGGGCCCCTCCTCATCATCATCTTAGAGCCACTCCATGTTAGTCTCTCCAGCAGAGAAGATGAAGTTCTTGGATGAAAGTTCAGAGTTTGAAGAGGCCAAGTGGAAGTTGCCAGTTCTTGTAAAAGCTAGGCCCAAAACTGGCATAAAGTTGCTTCTGTCTTAATCCATTGTCAAAACAGTACAGGACAGCCCAGATTCAAAGGTGGTCATTTCTTGATGAGAGTAGTGTCAAAAAATGTGTGGCATTCTTTCATCTACTACAAATGCTATCATTTTTTTCTTCCTTTCTGTAGGAGTTAAAAAAAAAGCCTCTTAGCTGGTATATTAGCCCCTGAGTCAATGTGGCAGGGATAGAGACAAGAGTGGATCGTGTTCGTTAGAAGGGGGCAGATGGCAGTCATCAAAATTTATAGGTAATGTTACTGGAGTTGATATCTACACAGAAAAAGGATATATGGCTGACATTTGGCATAGACAATACCAAGAAGAGGGGTCGTTACTGAGGTTGATTCCCAGTGATGATAGTCTTGCAGGCTAAATAAAGCTACCTCAGGCTGTCAGAACAAACTCAGAAAAGGAAGTATAGTATAGTCCCCCCTTATATACAGAGGATACTTTCCAAGTCCCCCAGTGGATGTCTGAAACTGCAGATAGTACTGAACCCTAGATACACTATTATTTTTTGCTTATGCATGCATACCTTTTCACTTAACGGAAGCACTTTATGGCTTCTCCTTGGTTTATCTAAATGGCCAGCATCACTTGCACTTTGGGGCCATTATTAAGTAAAATAGGGTACTTGAACACACGCTCTGTGATACCACACAGTTGATCTGATTAAGAGAGGGCTATTAAGTGGCTTTTAGTCACTTTTTTTTTAAGTGACTTTTATATAGGGAGCATATACAGCATGGACAAAGCGTGGACAAATGGATCGTTCATGTTCAGGACAGGATGGAGCGGGATGGTGCGAAATTTCTTCACTCAGAACAGTACCATGTTAAGACTTAATGAATTGTTTATTTCTGGACTTTTCCATGTAAGATTTTTGGACCATGATTGACCTTGGGTAACTAAAACCATGGAATTTGATACTTTGAATATGGGGAGACTACTGTATGCATCAGAGAAGTGGCACTCCTTTCGCATGGCAGTGAGCATCCTCTCTTTCACAAGACAGCAGGATTTCCAAGCTGTGCAAGTAGAACTCCAAATAGTTGATAAATGCTTCTTATCAAGGCGATTTCTACCAAACTTTCAGATAAAGGAAAATTCTTCTGTTTTTTAAACAACTTCTGAGCATAACAGAGGAAGATAATTTTTCCATTTCATTTTATAAAGTTAGAAAAACTTTGATAATAGAACCTCACAAGGATAGCACTATAGAGAAGTATATAGTTGAATGTCACTTATGAATGTGTATGCAAAGACCAAATAATAAATATTTGGAAATTAATTCCAATATTCAATTAAAATATACTGTGAGTATTATGATTTATAACAGAAGTACAAGAGAGGGCAAGTATTAGGAGGAATGTTGTTATAATTTATGGCATCAGTTGGTTGATGGAGAAAAACCAAATAATCACCTTAATATATATTGGAAAGGGATTTAATAAAATTTAGGGTTTTTTTTCAGGTACTTCCCCAACATGATAAGGAATGTTTACCCTAAATTAACAACAAAATATTAGAATCATTGCCATTTAAAATTTGAAAACATGCCTGGTATCACTGCTATCAGATAATAATGGGCTAGGATTAGGGTGAGGCAAGTGAGGCATCTATTCTCAGGGCTGTGCCAGCTGAGGGTTAGTTACTGTCTTTATTTAAATTTATATATGTTATGGATATTTTTGCATTTATTTTGATTTTTAAAAATATTACACTAAAATATTTATCTTGATTACCGAGGGGTTTTTTTTGTTTGTTTTTTTGGCATAACTGAGGGTTTTTTTTTGTTTTGTTTCTTGGCATCTCCTTAAATTTTGTGCATCAAGCAAATCACTCCCCTCATCCTAAACACAGCCCCTGGGTCAGGAAGTGTTTGCAATTTTAAATAGCGTAGTTAAGGAGTCAAATAGGATAGGCAAAGAATCAAATAGAGTGATCAAAAATTTTAACTTCGTTGATTCTATACATTTTATGTTTTTCTAAATAAATTTATTTTGTAAATCATTGTATTTCTGTTATCTTTGAATTTGTTCTGTTGGTATGCTAACTTCTTAAATTAGATGTTTATTGGTTTCCAGCCTTCTCTCTCTCTTATCATAAGCATTATGGCTATAAATTTTTGTCTATGTACATCTTAGCTGAATTCCCATGTATGAAAATGGAATATTTTCATTAGCATTCATGTACAAATATTTTCTGATTTACACTGGAATATTTTTCTCCTGTGACCCATATGTCACATAGAAGTATGCTTGTAAATTTACAAACTTAGGCTTTTTTAAAGTTACTTTCTTGTTACTGATTTTTAACATCACTGAGTTATGATCAAATAATGTGTTCAATATGAAAATATGTTTTGAAATTAGTTTAAATAGACTTTATGGCCTAGTATATAATCAATTTTCTAATATGTGCTAGAAAAAATATGTTTTTTCCCATAAAAGTGCATAAATATGTACATATATATCTCCATTAAGTCAAGCTTTAATTATGCAGTTCAAATCTTGTGCTAATTTTTGCTGCTTAATCTATCAATTATTGAGAACATTTTCTTTAAATCTTCTAATATGATAGAGGAATTTTCTATTTTTTCCTGTATGTAAATTTTTACTTTAGATATTTTGAGGCTCTTCTGGGTAAACGTGGTTGAAATATGTCACAGGTAGCTTTGAACTTGCATGCTTTCAGCTTAGCAGCCAAGGAGAAAAGATGTCTTGTAGTCCCCTGCTTTGGTTTAAAATGTTTTCCAAAGACTAATTGGACCATTGTGGATCCAGCAATGCAGTAAAATATAATTTTCAAGGATTTAAAATCATGGCTCTAATACATATGCAGAGTGAACACTTGTCGAAGATTGTCATCAATTCATTAGTTAAGGGAACCAGTGAGATGCTGGTTTAAAAATTATTTGAGGAACAAGGGTTTATATATCCATCATAAAAGTGTTAACTTAAAAATAAAAAGCCAAAAGTAAGAGGCAACAAGCATTTATCTGAGATTGAAACAAAGAATAGCTATTTGGGAAGCCCTGATTCAGGCAGAAGCCTAAATAGTGTTCGGATTTAGGAGGCAAAGGCAAGGGGTTTTGATGAGAGAAGGAAGGGGAACAATTACATCAATAGAAGGAAAGCATTTCTGTTGGTGTAAATAAACTAACATGGTGATGCTAATTCTAAACAATGTTTTTAATTTTTAGTCCAGTAGTCATAATACCTGCTTTCTTGTTATCTTTGCAGATGGGACATAATGCTGCTTTAGGCTCAGTCCAAAGGCTATTTTGCCCTGTTTTAACATTAAAAAGGTTTGAGGAGTAAGACATGCAAGGCAGTTGTTCTGGGATGGCAGCTCAAACTACATTTTAAAGTGGTTCCATTTATATTATTTTTCATATTTTTTTCTCTTGATCAAGTTCTTTCCTTGAAAGCATCATTAGTCATTTATCAGGAAGCAACACTGATGAGTTATTAAAAGCATCATTTGGGGGAGATGTCATGATATTGTCGGTCCCTCATCACCAGGAAGGTTCATTTGTGGTATGTCCCACATAGAAGGAAAAGTGTTTTGTTTAGTTTTCCCTTTAGGAGACTTAACCCACATTTGAGCAACAAGAGCACAAGAACAGAGGAAGGCTTTTTATAGTTATGTTTCTTTAAGGGCAGATACCTCCTGTAGTTTCTTGAGGTTTTTCATATGAAGCCTCATAGGCCTTGGTGATTATCTCAAAACGGTGAGCAACCATCATCAGAGTGGTGTCTTTATAATATTGAGCTACATAAAACAAAGTTTTATAACAGCAAAATTTTCTATAATAAAAAATTCTAAGTCCAATTTGAAGAATGGATCTGAACCAGGAGGCAATACTTGCCAACTGAAGATATTAAAGAATCATGAGGTGTCAGTAATTAATCATTTTAATTGTGCCTGGATTTTATCTAGTTTCATCTTCATTTCACCAGAGGTGTTTTATCCAAGTATAATAAGAAGAGGTATTAACAACAGAGCAAACCCCACCTTGCTCAGTTAGGATATGGTCAGGAGTAATTCTGTTGTCTAATATAACAACAGGAATTTAACGGTTTTTCTGATTGTGCAAGGGAATTTAAAGATTTTTGGCTATTGGCTGTGGCAGTCATTGTAATGTCTGCCCCACGAAAAAGTGTTCTTCCAAATCTGGTGCCTTTACTGGGGTTGACATCACCAGGCATTAAACATCCTTGCCTATCTGCGCAACCAGTTGCACATTCTGACCTGTGAAGTAGGTTTTAAGATGATGCCCCAATGTTGAATTAAATTTCCAGACAGAAATTTAGGGGGAAAGGAAACAGTAATATAGTGAGTGCTTGGCTGGATAGGAAGGAACTGAAGTAAGGAAAAAGGGGAAAATAAAGGTGTAGAGGATACAATAATGGCCTGGTCTGGAATCTTAGTAGTCCACAACAGATGTCATCTGCTTCCCTTTCTAGTAGTTTTAATTTTTAAATCTTATGTTGGTTGAGCAGTCCAGTTAGGTGCAAGAGATTTCTTTAAATGGGAAACATGAATTCAAGAGTTAACACCTTTAAATTTGGTCATATATGGATTAGTTAAGAGTACCTGAAATTTTGGAGGAATCAGGTAGGAAGGGAAAGGAAAACGTTTTAATTTTGCTTACAAAGGTATAATTTACCAAATAACTATAGGTCATAGGTAGCTTAGGAGAAAAAAATGTCTTGTATCTGGAAAACAAAGATCAAATACAGTAACATTTTATATAAAAATTCATAAAAATTTTAACCATTCTTAGCAGTTCATTTAGTCCCATGTTAATTTTTGTTGATCTCGATCTTTTTTGTTAGATCTAAGAGTTCTGTTAATCTTGACCCAGTTTAGTGTTATGTTTTTGATGAGAAACTTGCATTTTAGAATTCTTGTGAGGGTTTTAAAAAAAAAATCTTTGAAGATGAAATACATTTATAGGAACCTTTTTTTTTTTTTGCCAAAGCATCAGAGTAAAATAGTAATTGTCTGTAAATGATAAAAAAAAAGACTTAAAAATGTCCATGGTCACAGATCTGGTAAAAGTTCAGATACATACACATACAAATAATGGCAATTGACTTGTTTTCTATTGAAATCTTAGCTTGACCATACATAAACTTCTTAAGATTCCCTCACCCATAAACCTGCAACTTTCATATGCCTTTCAGCTTTTGTCCTATCTTTTCCTTATTTTGAAACAAACATTTTACTTTAGAAGAAAATTACTTTTTTTTCTTCCTTTACCACCTCCCTCATGTCATTTATATCTTTCCTTATCCAGAAAATTTTCCTTATCATTTATTTCTTTCCTTTAATAAAAATGCATCGCCATGCTTCATACCTTTTATTGAAGATGGCCTGGCCTAAAAACAATCCTTTCTTTTTCCTTTTGCTAATAGCTCCCTTACCCCACCTTTCTTCCTATAAAAACCTTAATTTTGTACAGCCCCATGGAGTGTGCAGCTAGCTGCTAGATGGGATGCTACCTGATTCATGAATCAGTAAAGACAATTAGAATTCCAAATTTCTGTTTATTAAACAATATCTTAACAATATAATATTAAATTACATGAAGTAAAAGTAAAAAATAAAGATAAATTGACAAATTCAGAATTTTGGGAAATTTCCAATCAGTTTTCAGTATTTGACAATTCTATCAAATAAAAAAATTAGGGAAGATTTGAACATCACAATACATATAAGGAAAGAATTCTATGCCAACATTTAGAGAATATACTTTATTCTCAAGTATATATGGAACATTAAACACGCACACACACATGCACACATTAGGTCACAAAGCAAAAATCTTCCCCAGCTCAGTATGAGAAAGAAAACTATAGGTCAGTACCTTTTGTGCTCAGAAATGTAAAATTTTTGTAAAGTATGAGCAAACAAAATCATCAATATATTTAAAAGTGAATGCATCTCACACAGATAGGCAGATAGGTTTACCTTAGAAATACAATAATGACTTAATAAAAAGTCTTACGGCAATTCATCACATGAACTGATGTGATGTATTTAACTGCCATATAAGCATGGTAGGAAATCTTAAAACCTTAGAAGTGTCCCCATTGAAGTCAGAAACACAAAAATACCTGCTTTCACTGCTTCTCAACATTATATAGCTATTATAATAAACCAGTGTAACACATATGTACATACATATAGACATGATTATTCAGTTACCTTTTCACCTTAGAAACTTTTGAAAAATTTATAGTATTAAAAACAGCCCAAACCACACTAAATATATTATTTTAAAAAGTATTTTTAGACATTGCTGTCTCTAGTAAAGATACATTCACCAAGTTATTCTTCACACTTAAGTTTCACTCAGAGACTACTGTAAGGAATAAATCTGAATTGTGTAATTGTTTTGCATGAACCCCAAATATTTTGTTTTTCTGAGGACTACCTCCTCTTTCAAGAGGGAGAGGCAAAGGCTTCAGTTTGTTATGTTTGCTCAAGTGCTACTTCCATGAGTGTCCAAATGCTCTCACGTTTTGCCTTTATTTAGTTATAAGGAGACTTTCTGTGCAATACCTTTGTTTGAAAGGGCAGTTTCATTACTGCCTAACTATGAGCCCTTTCAAGGTTGAAAAACTGAAGGAAGTGGTGTATCCAAAGAACGACTCCCACTTATTCCAACCAACCCCCCACTATCAAGTCTTACCCTTTGGCAAGTGCAAAAGATCAAATAATATTTTATGTACAAACTTTAAACTTTTAGATTACTAGTTCATTTTTTGCTTAAAAAATTTTCAGCTATAGTCCACATTCAATACTTATTTTCAATGAGTTTCTTTTGCTTGAAAGTGGTTTGGGTCACTTGGATTATAAGGCATTATGATTCTCACCAAAAGTAATAGGGAAAAAATATTTTTTAACCTAACATCTTTTCATTTCGCAACGGAGGTTTCAGGAGTCAATTAAAGACCTTAACGCCGGTTAATAAGCCTTAGGTTGCGAGACTGGGAAGCAAGTAACCAATCTGCCAATCTTCCCGGATGGGACTGCCTTCCTGACCCAGCCAACCAATCACAGGAAGAGCCCGGCCGGGGCGGGAACCAGCCCCAAGCAGTACAAACCGGAGCATTCCGCCTGCGCAGAGGGGCAGCACTGCGGCTCTCTGACTCCGCGCAGGCGCGTCGCCCGCCCGCCAGACCGCCCGACCGGTAGAAGCGGCCCTCAGGGAGCGGACTCAAAGGCTGAGACAGACGCTGCCTCTTCGCCTCCCGCCGCCGCTGATCGCTCGACCCGCCGAAATGGTTGAAGCGGATCGCCCGGGCAAGCTCTTCATTGGCGGGCTCAGCCTCGACACCGACGAGAAAGCCCTCGATGCCGAGTTCGGCAAATATGGCCCCATCACTGAGGTGCTCCTGATGAAAGATCGAGAAACCAGCAAGTCCAGAGGTTTCGCGTTCATCACCTTCGAAAACCCCGCCGACGCCAAGGCCGCCGTCCGAGACATGAACGGCAAGTCCCTGGATGGTAAGGCCATCAAGGTGGCCCAGGCCACCAAGCCGGTGTTTGAGAGCGGCCGGCGGGGCCCGCTGCCGCAGTCCCGCAACCGCGGTCGCCTGAGGGGCCTGCGCGGGAACCGCGGGGGCGGCCGCGGCCCGCGGCGATCCCCTTCCCGGGGTGGGACCGCCGATGGCGGCTATGCGGGTTATTTCGAGCCGCGGCCTTCCAGGGCCGGCCCGCCCCCCAAGAGGGCCGCGTCGTCAGTGCCGCCTCGCAGCGGCGGCGGCGGAATGCGCGGGCGGGATGGCTATTCGGGCCCGCCGCGCCGGGAGCCGCCACCCCCGCGCCGGGACCCCTACGTGGGCCCCTGGGAGGAGGGCTACTCGCCCCGGGATGGCTACTCGAGCCGAGACTACCCGAGCGCCCGCGACCCTCGGGATTTCGCTCCGTCGTCCCGAGAGTACACCTACCGCGACTACGGCCACGCCAGTGCCCGTGACGACTGCCCGTCGAGAGGCTACGGTGACCGCGACGGCTACGGGGGTCGCGACCGTGACTACGCGGATCATCTGAGCGGGGGCTCCTACCGAGATCTCTTCGAGGGGTACGGCGACCCGCGCAGCGTCGCCTCCACGCGGGGGCCGCAGCCATCTTACGGCAGCGGAGGCCGCTACGACGATTACCGGGGCTGCTCGCCCGACGCCTACGGTGGCGGCCGCGACATTTACAGCAGCGGCAGGAGCGATCGCTACTCGAGGGGCCGTGACCAGGTCGACAGAGCCAGTCGCGGGGCACCCCTGTCCATGGAAAGGGAGTGCCCCCCGCCCCGCGAATCGTACAGCCGGTCGGGCCGCAGGGTTCCCAGAAGCGGAGGCCGCCCAGGAAGCCCCTCGGAGAGAGGGGGAGGCCGCAGCAGATACTAAGTACCAGCACACTTGGGACCGAAAGCCGTTTTCAAAGAAACTAACGAAAAGAAGAACCAGTTCTATGGTAACGACCCAAGGACTAGTACAAGGAAGAGTTGACTTTACTTTTTGAGACTTTCCTGTTGACTTCCTCGCCATAATTTTTGTGCTTTTGGGAGGAAAAAGTTAAAGCTCGTTTAATTTCGTTTTGGAATTGTTAATGTTTCTTTCAACAAGCTCATGTTAAAAGACATCAATCTGCGTACTAGTCTTATATTTCCAAGTAGAAATTTTCCTAAAGGCGTCCTCCCTTCTCAATTTTCCTGATAATTGAGGCAAACAGTTTTAAGATCTCTTACAAATATTTACTTTTACCTAAAATGGAAAATGGATCGTTCTGTTCATTCAAACCAACTAGATTTTTTGGGGGGGGGTCGGGGGGTGGAGTGGAAGTGATGGTGTATGCTACTCTTTTAAGATAACAAGGGGTTTTTCAAACTGAATCTCAGTGTTCCCAGTATTAAAAAAAAAAAGACAACAACAAAAGCCACTTAAATCAGATGCAAAGAAAGTTCACTTCGTAAATCAAAAAAAGCAAAGGGATAATGCTGGCCATATTTTGCCTTTATGTTTTTTCTTTGGGCATCTGCAGACTCTCTTGTCCCCTTGCTCCCCAAAATAACATTCATATGCACGGAGCAGGGACAGAATACTAAATTAAAGATTTAGCCAGTCAACAACAAAGCTGCAAAAACAAAACAAAAACCACCACCCCAGAAAACGTCTAATGGCATTTGTTTTGACCACCACCAAATTATTAAGAAATAAGTAGGAAATATGCCACTGGTGGATTTAGGGGCTATAATGGCTTCTATTCCTCACTCCAAGCTACTTGCCCTTGGCTCTAGAGGCAGCTGCTGGCTGCTGGAGAGAACTGGGCTTCTTCCCCTAGGGGTGGAGGAATTAAATGTGACCAGCCTAGCATCAGATTTCAGAAGCTTAGAGAATTCCTGAGAGAGCTTGGCATTTCAACATCTGAGGATCTCAACCTGGTATGAGGGACTTGGGTCTTCTGTCCACAAAAGGCAAGAGGATGGGTTAAATGTGCCATAATCTTAAGTTGGGGAAAGGGCTTGAGCAGACAAAAGTCAGAAAGACTTCCTCCAAGGTGCCTCAGGAGGGATGTAACAGTCTCTTTCCCAAGCTCAGGGCAAGAAACACTTTTTCCATTCAGGACCTGTGAAATTTATGAGTATCTGAGAAAAGGTAATTGTACAGTCAAGGGACTCTAGTGACCAGAGAAGGAATGATCTGGTTAAAATATTGGGATCCATTTTCAGTGTAATAATTGCTGGAGGAATGCCTGAACAACAGCAAAAAATGTAACCCATTCACATAACTCTAAAAACATGGGTTTTTCAACAAAATAGTAAAGTTACATGAGAGGCTGCAATAGTGGCCCAGAAGACCAAATGTAGACAATAGCTATAAAACAAACAAACAAAAAAATCCAGGAATTAATCTAGCAAAAATGGGTAAGACCTTTATGGATAAATTGTTAATCTTTATTAAAGAACAGAAAAGAAGACTAAATAAATGAAGTCATATTATGAAATGGTTGGGAAGACTTTTAACTATTCTTCACCTCACCAAATTAATTTGGAAAATCAATACTACATCAAATGAAATTACAACATGATTTTTCCCCCACACAGTTCCCCTTCTAGCTTTCCTAATAACACCACTTATTTGTGTTGATCAACGATGGAATATTAAAAGATTTGGCTATCCAACCACGAAATTGAAAAAAAAAACCTTCACTGTCAACAAATTATTAAGAAAGAGGTTAAAAAAAAAAAGACACTTATGGGAGCTTTAGCTAACCTAAAACTTATATGGTGGAATAAAGAGTAAGGAGAGCCAAAACAAGTCTGAAAAACTGATTAGAAAGGACTCACCCTACCAGATAACAAGATTTACTACAAAGTTTTAGTAGTTTAAGCTGTGTGTTATCAACAAACAAGGATAGATAGACCAATAGACTAAAATAGTAGGCCTAGAAACAGGGCCACTTGTATATGAATACATGATATACGACAGAGATAGCTTTAAAAGTCATTGGTGAAAGCATGGATTTTAAAAAATGGCTATTTCTTGGCAAAAAGATAAAATGAAATTTCCTAACAGCATACACAAAAATACATCCTAGATGGTTTGAAGATATAAATGTGGAAAAAAATACAAGAAAATAAATGTATTACACTGGGGTTAAGAATTCCTTTTTAAGACATAAAAAAGCACAAGCCTAGAAGAAAAATGTTGATACAACTTCCACATCATTAAGGTACTTTTTATGATAGACATTTAATATGAAATATCAAACCATAGATAGGGAGAATTTATTTGCATTGAAATCAACTTCCAGTGCTTAGAAATCAAGAGAGAAAAAACAAGAAAAAAAAAGGGCAAAAGATCTCATATCTTTCTGATAGATGTATAAATTGACACAATCACTTTGGAAATAATTCTGGCAATACCTAGTAATGCTGGAGGATGCATGCCCTATGACCCAGAAATTTCACTTGAAGGAGAGGACCCAGAGAAATTTGCATGTGTACACAGGAGATATGTTCAAGATTGGGTCTTACAGCACAATTTGAATGTTTAAAAAGTAGAAACAGTCTATCTGGAGTGGATCAACTGAGGCTTATTGTAATGAAGTTCAATGTAGAAGTCAACCAGACCCACATGCATCAACATAGGTAAATATTGAAATACTTTTGGGAAAAGGCAAATTACATAAATATAAGTATAATTCGTAAAAGGATAAAAATGTGTTTGAGGTTGTACAGGATATTTAAAAATCAGGATATTTAGTGTAAGGAGAAAAAGAAGAGAATGAGTAGTGAGGCTTTCAGCTGAATCTGTAATGTTTTCTAAAAATGGATGGGTTATAAGCAAAAATAACATTTTAAATTTCTGTGGTTTACATTGGCGTGTCATTCTATAATTTCAAAATATAAATTTTAATATGAAAAATAGAGCTTAGCACAGCATCAGCATGTAATGGTTACTTAAAAAATGTTATCTATTATTCTGAAACTGTCTTAATAACCAAAAGTGTTGCAGCACTCTTATCTTTACAATGATTCTCCCAGCTTGGCTCTCTCATCAATATGGATGATGCCTTATTCTATTTGACTCGGTTTATAGACCCTTCCTATCCTAGACTGTGCTCATAGTTAGCTCACCATAACCTCAAGGGTAGAAATTGCATATCTGAGAATGAACTCTTAGAGGAAAGTGTACTTTTTCCCTTTGACATTCTTTTTGAAGCATGATAGTGATGAAAAACTCTCCAATTAACAGAATAGCTATTTCTGAAATAATCTGAATATTGAAACTATTAATAACTTTTTTAAAAAGGTGAGGTATAAACATTTGGAAATAAAGACCCAGAGTTTAGATGAGTTCAAGACATGATAGCATTCAAAGGCTGTGGATTTCTCGTACATGTATAACAGCCCCAATAATTTTTTACTGAATATTAATATATTAAAGCTATTTTCATAGGAAAATATGCAAGAGCGCTGGTCATTTGAGAACTCTTGTTTATAATTGCTTTCATAATAATGGGAGGGAGAGAGAGAGCAAATCAGGTATTTTGCAGGCGTTATCCACTGGGTATAATTTAAGAAGTGTGCCTCTCATAACCAAAAAACCTTTATGTTCTCAACTTTGAGCTTGCCTAATTATCTTACTCCTGAGATACCATTTTCACATTCCTTCTGTCCAAAACAGGTTCCAGGAGCATACAAACTATCCATGTGGCAACAGACAGCATTACTAAATATTTTCCACCAGGTGAAGCCTGAGCATCTTTCATCTGTGACTGCAAGCAGAGTCCTCTGTGGGTCCTGGGGCTCTCTTAGAGTGCTGGAGGTAGACTTCATTCCCCCTTTTCCTTTAGCTCCCCTTTTCCCCTTGCCTCAGGCCAGGTAAGATGGGAAGGCTCTACCTGGGGCCCCTAATTTCTCCACCTGTGGATTATGTGGGGTCCGTGTGCCTGCCTTTTTAGCCTTTACCTTAAAAAGGTGATGTGACTTTCCTTCTCTTCCTCCACAGAAATTTCCTTTTTGGGACAGTTACTATGTCCTCCTCTTTTGGGCATACTCAGGAATTCACCAAGCAGATTCAGACTGTTGCTTTTGCTGTGCATACATGGAATCCAGTGGTACTGGGAATTCCTTTCAGAATCTGTATGTTCTGTTTGTGGTGGCATTCCTTCTGAAGCTAGTTTCTCTTACATGTAGCACATTGAAGAACTCTAAAACGATTGTGAGTCTAAATATTTTGAGGGTTATATTGAGCATGGTTATCAAGTGTAAAAACTAACTCTAGAGGAACTACAGAGCAATGATGACCCTATTGAATGTATTTTATTATATTTATTAAAATACCCAAAGAATGAAAACCTGAGTATCTGTTAGGAAATTTTTAGGAAAAAATAGTTAGGCTTCTCCGTGTTTGGAGGCTGTTTGTTATAGTAGAAAGGTAATCTTTTGGTCATATGTGTGAGTCCTCATTCTGTTATTTATGTTTGGGCAATTTTCTTAAATTTTTTACCTTCAGGTTTTTTTTATATGCAAATGGTGATATTTCATAAAATTTTTGAAAGTTTAAAATAAGATAATGCATATAAAGCATGCAGTACAGTGCCTGGACTGCAGTGGGGTTTATTAAGTGGTGTACCACAGCATTCTACACACAGCAGTGGCCCAGACTTTCCTTTGGAAGTTATCTTTTCCGGTGACCAGTAAAATTGCTTATGTACTATAAAAGTCTTCAGAAAAGTTCATCTTGTGCATTTTATTGTATTTATTCAAGTAGTATCCTCCCAGCTTGAAATTTTGGAGACATATTTGACTTTTTACAGACCCCATTTATATTCTGCTGCCTCTTGACAGCTAGGATTCTCTACTTCTTGGCAGCTAGGATAACTCAATCTTTGCACCAGC